GACGAAATTCGTTAAATTGATCGTGAGATAAAACGATTAAGTAAGCTTACCGAGCTTAAGTATCAAGCAAACTGTCCCATATGTTCAATCATATAATAAAGTTATCACAATTGCTGAATAATTGCAAAATCGACTGACGCACTATGGAACATATTTACGGTATCGCAGTCAACACTGCTCGACCAATGGATTAAATAATACTGGTAATGTTTCTGTTCTAGACAAATTGTTCTATTTCTGTTCTCTTCCTAGCAACACAACAGAACATTTCCAAGGAAGGACGCGCACAACGCAACAAAACAGCTGAACAGCGGAACAGAATAGAAGAATTTGAAATTTCGAGATGCGGGAACAGAACAGAACAGTTTAAATGGTAGAAAAGGAGAGCGGTACGTCCGCCCCTTCTCCCCTGGAGGCTATACGAAATGAGAAGAAAGGAGAACAAAGAGAATGGAAAAGAAAGTGGAATAGAGAAGGAAATGGCCAAAGGAAGGAGAAAAGAAAGGAGACGAGAGAGAAGGAACGAAAAAATGGCAAAATCATCCCTAAACTCAGCTATTTTTCGGAATAAACCATTTTGTGCTCCCCTCCCCCACCTCACTATATCCTCAAAAAATACTGTTTAGGCCACCAGTTATCGCGTTCATCAAACAAAACAGGTGCGGCTATTCTCTGGAGCCATAATCTTCCATATTCATGAAATCGAAAGAAAGAAAACAGTGACTTGTCGTCTGCAGGAAGAAAATGGTGTTTTTTTTGGATAAATTAGGAACGTTCACTTGTAACGATTTTAGATAACTCAAGATTAGAATGTCATAGAGCTGAAGTCAAGTCGGCTTTCAAGGGTAACACCTCCACTCCTCGGCTCATTTCATTCACCAATCAATGCAATGCAAGAAAATACTACTTAAGACGATTGAAAACTCACTGTTTTTGATGCATTTGATCTCGATCGGACTCAATTGCCACTTGGGTATTGCGATTTTACAAGCAGACATCCATGCTTTGCAAAGAGCATCACCGTCTTCAGCATAGCAAACTGCGATAACGTTCTCTGTAAATCAGACACTCTACTCCTCTGGAGCCAAAAACACTACTGCTCTGGAGCCAACTATGCTAGACCATTTGTCATATTGCAACCTTCATTCAGCATTGCAATTCGCCATTGATGAAACAGAGAGAAAATTTGAGCTCAAGCACCCTTCCTCCAACAGCTTTCATGGACCAAAATATTATAAGTTCTAAACTAGTTTTTTGGAGTTAAAGCAAAAAATAAAACAACTGATGAGTCGAGGAAACTCTAGTCAAAGGGCCCGAATGCGAGCATTTACTCATTTTCGACCAACGTAATACGAACATACAGACACACAGCAGTACAATTTACTGAAGAACCTGTAATTATACACTGGGCAATTTCGTCCGGCAATTTCGTCGCAGTTGTGTAGAATGGAATCGTCACGCCCGTCACTTCAGAGCAGGCGTTTTGCAGACTGTTGCAATAGTCAGCACCGTATTTCACTGTGCATAGAATCATCGGGTCATCTGCAGATCTTTTAAATTTTCAACGAGTGATACAGTCACCACATTTCTATTGCATAGTTACTCTTATTCGCAAACAAATTCCCTGCTCGTCATTTCCTTGCTGACAGCCTTCGAATAATGTACAATNAAAATTGGCTTCAAAAAATTGCTTGAATCAGCTTGCTCCTCGCCCATGGCGCTGTATGCAGTGATATTTTGAGAGCTCAACTCTCGAAATGTTGCCGCTGGGGTGAAAACAGTCTGTATGAATGCAGTCTGAAGTGTCGCTGAGCCAAAGTTGCTCGCTCGCCTAAGATATCTAAGCGTGCGAGTAGATAGCGTTGAAAGTAATTTTTTAAAAAGACTCAAAACAGATTAAATCGGCTAAATTAATACAATGTCATTCACGGAACATTCGAAAGTGTGAGCTCTTTGATATCATAATCTTTTCTCCAAAAAATGTGACAATATATCAATATTCAATTCGATTTACCCGTGAATATGCAGTTCGCAATAGCCAGCGGTATGTTTTGAAGAGGACCTGGTGGTAAAGTCACACGCAGAGTCCGCGAGCAGTACAATATTAACTGATAGCAGTAGCTGGATCCGTATTTTGATATGCATCGTTTTAGTTCATTTGTGTCTAAAATGTTTATAGAATTACTTTAACTTACTGCTGCGATTATTGATCACATGCATTCATGGGCACTAGAGACAATCGAATTCAGTGCGGTAATACATAATTGCTGCGGTCGAAACATCTGTTACGTTCGGAGCATTATGGCATTAATGTAGTACTGACATCAACGCCGCTTCTACTGAAGCTCTTGTAAGTAGGTCAACGGCTCGAGAAACAATTTATAATTGGAATGGGTTCACTTAAACATTTTAAACAATAGGTAACGAATCCCGTAACTGATGAATTACAACTGGACTTTATTCCAGAAATAACCTACTGTTATTCATACAGTTCGTTTGAATGACAGTCAACTTTTCCTCCAGATTTACAATATTACATAATGCCATCCACTGCCTGCACTTGTTCTCACCATACTGTACGAAGCAGATTGCGATGATGTTCTCTGTATTTAATGTACATCGAAATTATTCAAGGAAGCAAACGTGTGCGATTCAATACAGGTAAGGGATGTTTGTCATTGTTGCTGAATGGTATACTCTCTTATTATGCATTATACAAGCAGATTCGTAGCACTTGTAAGGAAAATTGTTCGATCCAATCTTATTGAATCAGAAATTGAACAAATGCGACCGCGATTGGCTCAATCGTCAATACGTACATATGACTGTTTCCGACACTTCCCAATTTCATAAAGTGGTCACATCGCAATGTTTCAGTCTTGCTACAAAGCGATTAGCAATAAGGAAATAAAGCAGACTAATACCGCTAGTTATGCAAGTGGCGACTTGTCCAAGTAATATATCAAGAGAGCCGGAAACCTTCGGCACAAGAGGCACATTCATAAGTTGCGAGCAGGCTGTTTGAAGTTTGATGCAGAATTGCATGCCATACTTTACTGCACAAATTGCCATAGGATATTCTATAAAAAGAACTTCTCGGATAAGTGTATCTTAGACAAGTGAAACGGTTTCATATTGTTCAAAATTTACCTGTCGATATGCAAACTAACACTTTCGATGACAAAATCGTAACTGTGTCCGCACCGTCTGGTTCACCAAGTAACGATGAACAACTTGCTCTTAGTTTTGTGCAAAAATGTTGGCTGTATTTCGATACACATGTCTCAGTAACCCATTCTGAAATTGTGCCATTCTGTTGATAACAGTCAGCTCTATGAACATGAACAAAAGTTTGCAGAATCCGTTTGCGCTGAGTATTTCATAATTACTGAAAGGTCGGAACGGAATATGAACTCGTTTCTGTCAGATAAGAACTCACGTGTTTTCATGCAATCCATATCAGTCATGGTTAACGTGACTTTGCCCGTAAAATCAACTATGTTGCACACCTTGCTCCACGTTGTGCATTTATCAGCACCATATCGAGTGATGCAGGTTGAGATGAACATTTCTAAAGAATGAGATGTAAGCTTGAAGTTCAAGTCATTCCTCAACAATTAATAAATGACCGCATTGAAAAGATGAATGTCAGGGAACGGTTCGATTCTGTGCATTTAATATGCTCATATGATACTACAATACTTATAACTCATAATTTTGATTCAAGATGTTTTTCGTTCTGCAGCAGTTGTAAAACATTACGTTAACAAGGCAAAGAATTCCCAGTGATTGACATGCGGATAAGGTTTCATTTCATTTC